TAGAGACCCCCATCTCCTTAAAAACATTTTTAACTTCGATGCCTCCCTATTTTTATTTTTGAGCTATTAAAATGCTTAGAAGGCAAAAGGTTTTTATTTGATCCCACACACCACCAGCACGACCTGCAAGGGAGCCTGGGTTATTCTCTCTGGGTTGTTGTGATAATTGAATGAAATAACGCATATGATACATTTGGCCGTGTCTTTAACAGTGCGTTTATGAAATTACTACAAGTGGTAAAAAATGTTGAAAGTCATAGAAAAATAAAAGCTTTTGTGCTGTGTAAAAATCAGAAATATTTAGTTTTACCATTTAGGGATTCCATTTTGTTTCAGGCAGATGGATGGTCTGGGGTGGGAGAGCTCACCCACATAAAACTGGATCCTTCATGAAACACAATTGACTGACAGGAAGCAGTGGAAATCTTCAAAGCTGGGTCTAGTGGTGGGTAAGGTTGCCATAGGAAGTTTGGGAAAGGTTTGGGTAGAAACTAAGACATTGAATGATGAGAAAATGATTACACCAAAAGACAGGCTCCCATGAGCACGGGTGTCCAAATTAGCTTTACACGTGAAGACTGGTCCCTGAGCTGTTGCCAAGTTTGAAGGGCTCAACCTGGGACTCCAGGATTAATTTGGGAAACCTGGAAGGGAGCTGGCTCCCAAGAAATGTAAACATAAATCTTTTGGAGGAAAGCAACCTCAATTTAGGACCCTGAATTTTCACAGATTCAGATTAACCAGATATGAGTTTCAATCAAAGATCCCCACATGCTTAAAAAAACATACCACTAAGAATAAGAGTCAGCATAAACAATAAATTTAAATTCTCAGAACTTTCAGGTATTAGAATTACCAGATACAAAATATATAATAACTTAATAAATAATTAACACTCAACAAAAGACTTAAAAATTACCAAGCATATAAATTCAAGTTGAATTTAGAGAAATGAAAAAATATAATCATTAATACATTTTTATTTTTTATAGTACTTTTATTTTTGTAATATATTTTATTGATTTTAGAGAGGAAGGGAGAGGGAGAGAGTGATAGAAACATCAATGATGAGAAAGAATCATTGGTTGGCTGCCTCCTGCACATCCCCTTCTGGGGGATCAAGCCGACAACTCAGGAATGTGCCCTTGGCCGGAATCAAACCTGGGACCC